GAATGCTTTTGAGACTTACTCATACTCAGGAAAAGTATAAGCTCTGGGGCACAAAAGAAATCAGAAATGGCAGAGTCTGTAAGACTTGCAAAGATGATGTAATCATTTTCCAGAAATGTACACCAGAAAGCATAGAATATACCCATCCCATTTCTTTATTTTTTCTGTCTACAGCTACTTATCAGACATGATTTAGGGCAAGAATATTGCTGAAATAATTTTTGTTTGTGGCTGAATACTGGCAACAGGCCAAATTAAAATTATTTGTAAGTTTCTGCACCAGATTTCCAATTACAACAACAATATACATCTTACTGAAGAACAGAAGCAGCACTATGTGACCTGCAAACTCCATCAAAACAACTCAGTTTCTGACTATTAACTGTAATAAACCGCTTATGAATAAAAGATACGTAAAAATTCCTCACAGGAATTTGGTAAGTAATCTTCAAAAGTAAGAGAGATATAGAAAATATTTAATTGTGTACTGATAATTATGAAAAAATAGAGCTGCAATTCAGTGGTCAATCATATATGGGTAACAATTTGGCTCATCTGGGCAGAAAGAGATCAAAACAGAGCAGGCCTCTTCTGAAGGATGAGAAAGAGGAGAGGCTTTCATCTTGGCATATTCCTTTAGTTCAGCCAATCTTCCATGGCAAATACTTCATCACTCATTTAAATATGTCAGCCCATGCTGGTCAGGCTAAAGGGGATGGATAATATTAGATCTTCTAATTAAACGAACTCTCATCACTTCTGTCCAGCAAAGATTTTTTTGAATTAATATCAAGAGTGTCTTCTGAACATATGACCACACTGCTCAGTGCTGAAGTCTCCAGTTTCATCCAAAGGGATGGCTTCTTCCTCTAATCAAGTCCTATGAGAAAATTTGGGTTTATTCAATTCCTCTGACTCAGAAGAATTAAAATGGACAGAAAAGAAAATTCTTATTTCTCAGCTCTCCCAAAAGCTTTCCTCAAAGACAGCCCCATATCAGTAGTAAAATGTCCTTCACAGGACACTGTCAAGATACCTGCAATAATTTTAAAACTCATTTGTTACTCCTTGTTGTTTATAATCCATTTGAAGCAAAAAGGTAAAATCTATTTCCATTAGTTCCCCAACTCCTCCATCAGGCACACCATGCCAAGGAAACCACTTTTCCAACGTAACATGTACACAAAGAGCATGAAACTCAATTTTTTAGATTAGCTGTATGACCAAGACATGGTTTGGAATTCAGCTGTACACCCTGGCACTAAAGGTATTGACTTGGAGGATGATGGATGCAATAATGAATGGAGTAGCACAGTGGAATATGCTATGGAAGGGCCCTAATTAGCAGGTGAGGTAATGAGGAATCAGGAAGAATGGTGAAGGAGTGTGACATGACAGAACAGTAAATCTTCCTGGGTCATGGCTCTACCTGCACTCAAAGCTCCTCCCAACACAGCCTTGCATTCAGACTTTTCAGAACCAAAGATGAGAAGGGGGCTCTGAATCCCATAAAATGGAGGCAGAAATTGAAATCAAGTTAAGCTGGAGGGGTAAAACCTCCAATGAGGGACCTGTGCAGACAATCATCATGTGAGCAAAGAAATTATAAGAGGCTTATCATTCTATTATTAATATTTTCTGGTTTGACCACCGGGTTGCAAACCAGCAGAAAAAGGAGGCAAAATTCACTGTGAAACTTTGTTACTTCGTTTTTAGCAACTTTCAAATGGAGATAGGGCTCCTCGAAGATTGATTTGGGCAATCCAGACAAGATGAAAAAGAGTTTGGATATTTTACCACCTTCTTTTCTTGTTCCTAGGTTGAACAAAACCTTAGATAAGATCAATAGTTTCTTTAGTTTTATGTTTCAGTTCCTTAAGGGTAGTTGGCTTATTGCATTTCCATTGATCACACAGACAGGGAGATTCGTCAGACAAACCATCTCTTTTCTCCTTTCATTTCCATCCTCCTCTCCATTTGAAATCAAATGACTTTTAAAGAAAGCTGGGGTCACTATTGTTTCTCATTTACATATCAATAGTACTCAATTCCTGCCCTTCTGTCACTAAAGTATTTTAAAATTTCAGTCCAAGAGAGGGGACACACATTCCAGGGGAAAAACTCTTACAGCTTTTTTATCAGGGAAACTAAGTTTTGGTTTACCTCAGCCCTTCCTTGACCTGAGATGAATGAGGTACACTCACCAGCCTTGTGTAATTAATATTTTAACCTCTTGAAGCCTCTCTACAGCTTTCTTGTTCTTACTAAATCCTTTGGGCAATCCCCATCAGATGCCTCTGTACAGGTCCAAGTGCTGAACCTGTGCTCACATCCAGCAAAGCAGCTGCTTCAATGAATTCATTTCTTGAATTGAAAAGAGAAAAGAGCTTGAAAGTTGGAAAAAAGCTAAAGACCAGGTCTGGTGCTCTCTAACAGAAGTCTGACCACTGATTCACTGAATGATGCTCGACTTGGGAGCCTCTGCTGCATTTAACAAGATGTTTTAAATCCTAGCTGCTGTTTGTAGTTCAAGGTGTAAAAGTAACAAAACATAAGGGTGTGCTTGTCCAGGGGAAATTCTGGATATATCCCTACAGGGAGATCAGTCATATGCCATTGGAAAACTGACTCAATGATCCACAGTTAAACAAATCTTCCAAACCAAATGTCAGAAAGCCTTAAGTATAGAATGTTGACATCTTCTGCCTGAGAATTAGTGTCATTCTATTGCTTGGACACACATCCAACTTCATGGTCCAAAAGTGAGAAACTTGTGTTGCAGCCACTAGAAAAACATGACCTCTTATGTAATTAATTTACAGTTTACAAGAATGATTTTAGGGCTCCAAGATACTGATGAAGTAGCTTTGGCTTGACAGATGGAAGCTGAGGATTAAATGGTATTTATGCAACAAAATCTTCAGTTCAGTCTGTCAATTCCACACACTTATTAATCCACTTGTTGGAGCACATAAATAGGACCAACTCTAAAGACTACTAAAAAGAAGAGGAAATAGCTTATAAGTATCCACTTTCTGGAAGAAATACTGTATGTATTTATATACAGCTCCAGTATAATCAACATAAGAAATTATATTCTATTTTGATACTATCAAGTTGGGTACCTAATGCATTAGGAAAAAAATAGTGGAAATACTTTAAATCTGCCTGAATCACAGAAGCTGCAATAAGTGTTTGTATTATCCTTATAACAGAAAAATGGTGAAGGAATTATTCATAATGGAAATATTTATGTATCCTCCATCTTTGAGATAAATCATAACCCTAAACAAACAAACAAAAAACCAAACCAGAACAAAAATCTCCACCAACTCAATAAACCAGAAACGAATATGTGACCTCATAAGCACAACCCACTGATCCAATTAAGATTCAGCTTTTCAAGGCATTCATAATGGAAATTTCAGAACTGCTTTACAGCTTTCAGACCTCTTTGAGAGCCATGGGAAGATTGGATTCCCTCGCCAGTCACAGCCCTCATAGATGAACTTGCTCTTGCCCTCAGTGGCTGGTTGTGGCCCTGATCAGTGTCAACAAAGAGGACAAGAAGCCACATAAAAAATAATTTCATACATTTTAAGAGATTTCTCTTCCTACTATTTTAAGCATCTAATGACACACATGAAACAAGTTTGGTTAAAGGCCTCACATATGCTGATGGAGAACAAGTCACTAGATATTGATAAAAACTGATGTGTCACTGGTTTTAGATCTTACTGTGGTTATCTAAGAAATCAGTGAAATCCTCCTCTACAGAGATCATTTGGAGCTTTGTCATTGATTTCAGTCAAAGTAGATTTCCCCCACTGTCTAAAAAGATTCAAACCCACTCTCTTGACCTGTGGTGCCTATTAAAAAGCCATTAGCACTTCTCAGGAGTAGGGAGTGTTAGATATAATTGGCCTGGGCATTGCACTCTCTTGATTTTAACTGTCTGCCATTTTTTAATTCTGCCTTTCCTCTCCTGGAATTGATGTGTGTATAGTAGAGCATAGTTAAAACAGCAGCTGAATACTTCCTCCTACGTTCTACAGAGAGGTAAAAGGATTAGTATAGAGCTTACAAAGATAATAATTTGAATGTCTTATTAATTAATTGTTATTTGTAATAATGGCTCTTTCCTTAAGGGTCTTTCAGGATCCTTAACTGCTTATTAATGTTGTACAGATAAGGATTGCTCCCTAGTGGAAGAAATGAGGTGAAATGTAGAAGCCTTTCAAATGAAAGCAACAGGTTTGGAATAAGAAAAAGCAAAAAAAAATTAATCATTTGAATGAATGGAGAATTATGATCACTCAAATACAATTACCTGACTTTATCCTGTATGCTTAAAAATTGCCAGGAGATCTCCCAGACTGATGCCTGATGCATTTGGTACAAGTACAGCCCTTCCTACCAACCTCATCTGATGTGGAATTCTGGTCTGTCTAGATCACAGTCTCAGGCATATCTTGAATTCATTGACATCTGTCAAAAGTAGCCTTAGACTGACTACCTCTGCCTGTCAGGAACAGGCAACTCCAAATGCAGGATTTTCATGGAGGCTCTTAAATTTAGCCATTTAGGTGATTGCTCAGGCAGGGAGCTTGTACCAATGAGTGAGCATTCCAGTTAATTGCCTTAGAATTAGGCTCAAAAATGTCCATATGACCTGCCAGAACTTTTATTACAAGACTGTGAAAGCCCTTGTAAGGATAAGTCCCTATATCATCCCCAAAACACTCCTTTCTTCAGCCCAGTGCTTTTGGCTGCAGACTGGAGTTTCCTTTTATTTCCCTGCTGAATGAAACCTCAGAGAGGGACTCTACTTTCTTGGCACTGAAGGTAATAGAACGAGGGGTGAAAGAACGAGATTCCCCAGAAAAGAAATTCTGGCCACATGGGCCTGGAGAGAGCTCAGCAATGGCCATCTCCTCTGTCCAAGCTCATGAGATGTGCATCAGGAGGGTGGCAGAGGGTGTTTTGAAAGGTTTACTCACTCTGTAGAGTCCATGGCTGCAGCTGCAGTAGGTGCTTTCCATGGTGTAGCTCCTGAGCACCCCCATTTCCTTCCACACCACCACACGGGCCGTCGACGCCCGCGACTTCTCCACCAGGAAGCTGCAGCTGTTCATGACAAATGCAGGGGCCACTTTATCCAGGATTTTGGGAAGAGTCTGTGAGAAAACGAATTGCACAGATGCGCACGTGTTGATATCATGCACACACATACACAGTGATCTGTGTTTCAGCATGTCCATAATCAAATCTAGCCATAGGTACCGAGAGCTCCAACTGGTGCATTACCTCCATCCCATGTCAAACCCTCAGATTCTAACATTTGTTTCATTCCAAAGACTAAAATGCAAAATTTCTGTGGACTTGACATATCTCACTCCAAATCAAACATTTGTGCACCAAATAGTTTGGGTGAAGTGCTGAAGTCAGTTTTGTTCTCAAGCTGCTTCAACCAACATACACCTTCTTGTTGAGCTGCCAAGAGTCACAGCTCAGTACCTGACATCCCTATTCTCCCCTCTCCAGCTCTATTATATCTCCTCCCACCATAAATCCAGGGTCAGACAAGGGATTGAGCCATGGGAGGAATTTTGTCTGAAGCTGGTATAGAGCAGAGAAAGGGGGTCTGTTTCCTCATAGAACGTCACACATAATAATGTGAAAATAAAGCTCAGCATTTAACTAACTTGCATTGTGAAACAAACCAAAATATTCTCTTCCAGGTCCAAACAATGTATTGCATACAGTTCACTTAAAGAATCACAATAAAAAGTAATAATAAAACCAGTAAATATTACATTTTGGCCCTGAGTGATTTTCTTACTTTCAAAATCATATTTCCCAACAAAGTCTATAAACACGCCTGAAGTATCAAATATTCCATCAGTGAAGAGGCAACAATTACTTAGTCATTACAGGGGGCTGAATGTGTTATTTTTATACTCCATAAAAATAGGCAACAGCTACATAGAGCACACCTAGTTCTAATGAATAGACTGGACCATTAGATACACACACATGCCTGTGGGTTATGTCTGTGTGTGTCTGAACTTCAGTGCTGCTACACCAACCACAACATGTGCCAAAACACCATTTGATCCACCTAGAGGAGACCAAGCAAAATTAGAATTCTTTCTTTTATGGCAGTTTTCTTAAACACCTGAACTGTAAGGAATCCTCCAGAAGGAGTTCCCACATATTGCTAAGTGGCATTTACCCTTGAATTTCATTCAGTTTGGGTAGTGAAAACTAACCAGCTAATTTCATTTTCCAGTAACCTTCAGCTTCCCCAATTAATTCTGGGGAATTGTAGTTCTGTTCTTTTGGGCTTTACTTCACATCACTGTATGGAAATATTTGATTTGAAAGTGACTGAACAATGTTCTTTCCTAAAACATGCTTGATATGAGTGATACATATTTAGTCTAAACTACTTTACAAAATTTCTTGCAAACTACTTAACCATACATATCTTTCATTTATACATTTATCATTTTTCAGTGTATTTTGGCTGCAGCCATCACTGGACTCCTCCAGTTCCATGAAGTCCATTTTTCACATGAAAAAAGTGAGACAGAGAAAACTAGAACAAAGCAAAAAACTTCACTTTAAATCTGAGACCACCTCAAGCCTCAATCTTAAGTCAAGATCTCCAGTGTGTTACTAAGAGCTGCAGCACTCTCTTTCCTGTGGGCAGACTGAACAGAGAAACCTTGAAAATTCACTTCTTGCCTTTGATAAAGCATCCAACATTTCTGCACTGCCTTCAGCCTGCTACTTGCTGCACAGAGATCACAAAATTGTATGGGTTCATGCACAGCTTCCAGGTTTTCCTGGATTTTGACTGAGAAGTAGTTGAAAATATGCAGCAGAAGCATAGCACAACCATGAGACCCAGGTAAACTGTATGTGACATGTATGTGCCCTTATCTGAACCCACACACAAAATTTTGTAAACTTATCACATCAAATACAATAATCAGAACCCTAATCCAGTTTAGTTTTTTAGAGCAATTCAAATTATATGCATAATCAATCTTTTACTTTTAATTAAATAAAAATACTGGCAGGTAACAGTAATGTCTCTGTACACAGGACTCATTTAGAAGCATTAGCAAACCCAGATTTAATATTCTTTTCATTTTACCAGCATTCGCTGGATTTCACACTAATGGCTCTTTCTTCTCCATTGATTCTTCTCATTAATTATCTTTCAATAATATATTTTGTGTGAAAACACATCCCTTTAAAGGATGCTTTTATGGTAGTGCAGCAGTGTGACTGTGTTCCTTGTCTCTCAGCAGCTGGATTTATCATGTGTGGCAGCAAAGGAAGCTGCTCCACTTCCACTGGACCCTGTCCATAAACCTCCAATCCCATTCCAAAAGAATCCAGTTATATTTCTTTACTAATGTCCCAGCAGAGATTGCTGTCAAAGGGGCCTGGAATGTTTATCAAAAGGTTGGGATTATGGTGCCAATGCTGTGCAAGTCACCCAAGGCCACCAAATATTAAAGGCAGGGAGGACTCCGACTGTACATTGCCAAGGGCTACAGCTGAATCTATAACGTATGAGGCCAAGGCTCTTCCAAAACCCATAACTTTCTTGAGGTATTTGGTTTCTGTTCCTGTGGGGGAAAATCAATCACGGAGGCCAGATTAATTCCCATTACCTAGAGGAGGCAGGAGAGAAGGCTGTGCAAACAGGGCAAGGCAGCAGCTCTGAGCCAGGGCTGGAACTGCAGATGTGTCCCTGTACAGACCCAGCCTCCCCAGCCCAAGCAGGGAGAGGGTGATCCATAGGCTGGGTCTGCAGCAGGCACCCACCTCCCATTTTGTGCAAAAACAAGGATTTGAGCCATAAAAACCTCCCTTATGGGCCACTGCAGAGTGCTGGTGGACAGCCTTGGATTCATTGCCGATTCAGGTCAGGCTGCACATGCTGACAGTAACATTTGAATTCTGTCTGTGCAGCAGAGCCCTCCCCAGCCTTTGCAAGCCCCCGGAATTCAAACACAGCCAAAAATGCCCTGGCTGTGGGAATCCCCCCTGCTTTCCTCAGGATCAATGTTTGCCACAGGGACCCCTCACAGCCAGCACTGGGGTACTCTCCTCCAGTAAAGTTGCAGGTTTTTTTCTGTGCAGCTCCTTAAGATAAGCAGAGAAAACATGAAAATCTCATGGAAGGATGTTGAGTGTTTATGCTGAAGTAGCAAAAATTTTACAGTCATAAACTGACAAAGACTTTTCAACCTCTTTCAGATTTTAGTGATCCAAGCTGCAACTCTGTAATCAGTTTAAGGCCGCAATTAATGTTTTGTGAAATTAACATTTTTTAAGACTAGAATTGGACCTTATATTTCTTTTTCCTGAAAAAAAAATAGGATATTTTTTAGGATATTAGTATTTAATAGGAAAATATCATTGTAACAGATACAAAAAAAAAAAAGGTAATAAAAAAAATAAAAAGAAAGAGAAAAAGGAGAGATGGACAGGAAATCCAAAAGAGAGTTTGATGAACACGACATCCCCATGAAGCAGAAATAAAATAAATTTTAGAATTTTTTCTAATTCTAAAAAGAAAAAACAAATTCTCAGGTGTGACATCAAACATTTGTTCTGGAGATAGCTTCACTATGATAGATTTGTTTGGCATCCATTGAATTGTGTCATGTTTTCAGTGGGTCCAGGAGCATTTTGTGATGAAGAAATTCAATTGAGGAGGACTGAGGGACACTATGATCTTCTCAGTTAAAATTACATAATTCCCATGTATTTTCATATCGTGGGTAGGATGGTGAGGACAAAATTATACTTATATTTAGAAATTATAAAACACACAAAAATATCTCTGTCCTATTAGCATTTAGCCAAATGTTATAGTGCATCATTTTACTGAAATGACATAAATAGCAAATACACCTTCAGTAGATGGGTCCCTAATATCTGGTGCATGAAGATAAAACATGTGACTCAAAATTCTCTGGACTATTATTCCTCTGGAGCAAGGAAAGTTTGCATCCTATTGCTAGAATTTCTGAGATGATCTTAAATATTTTAAATATATAAGCACATACAGGCTTCTAATTAAGGAAGGAACCAAGAGCACCTACCCTGTAGCCAACATCTTCTGTGACAACTGCTGTGTCAACCATGCAGCCTGCTTGCCACAAGGTCTCTTTAATGCTGCAGCCATAGAGAAACACATTCTTTTTCTGGGAGTGCCCATGGTAGTCACAGAAGACCTAGAGAGAGGGAAAAAATAAGGCAAAATGTTGAACATTGGAAAGGTTTCTTGGTTCTTCATAGTATCCACTACTAGACTATGGCAGGGAGGTGTTAATGTTGGTTTTTTTTTTTTCAGGTCTCTTCAGAGTAGCTTAGACTCTGGGCCGTGCCTTTGACCTGTGTCAGACTTCATTAGTCACTTGTATCTTGCTTTATTTATTTGATCTGACGTGATCTCAGGGGTCCAGAGTCAAGCCTAGTGCACTTCTGTCTGCAGCAGAAATAAACATGACACCTGGGTGAGAATCCATGGCAACTCAGGAACCTAAGGGTTCATGAGAACTCCTGATACCACAACGGAGCAATTTGTCAGGCTCTTTCTACTTCTAAACTCCTAAACTCCAGCTTTGTCCTCATGGGACTTGAAATCTATGCCTCCCCAAATGATTAATCATTGCTTTGTCTTCTTTAAATTAAAAACCCATGCTACATAATTTTCAGGAAAATATAATTGTGCAATTGTATTGCCAGACCTTTGCATGAATTCCTGCAAGTCAAGCACAGAAAATGACCCATATTCAAGGCAAATAATCTCATTCCACACTAATTTATCTGTCTGTCCAATCCATCTCCCATGTCAGCTGTCATATAAACGAGGCACAAGGCACATTCCCATTTTAGCGGAAGTTTTGATTGCCTGTATAGGCAGATATTGATTCCCATGGAAATGAAAATCACAATTTAATGACCCGAGAGGTAAATATTGACCCAGGTCTTAAAGAATAATCAATCTCAGTGCCCTCTGAGATACGAAGTCGATGTACACATGGCTGTTACATATATTCTCCATGTCTTAATCAGGAATATTCAGAAATCTGTCAATGAAAATATAAGAATCTCTAAAGAGAAGGAATTATTTCATTTTAAACCAACAGCATTCACTGTCATGTAGAAAGGAGCTTCAAGATTTCATTGAAACTGTTTTCCAGGACTTATGTTGGAGACAAATGGATGTGTGTAGGTAGAGAAAAATTATGGACCCACATAGAGATGGGGGAGAACTATGGGGTGCAAAAATAGAATCGTTTAGGTTGGAAAATATCTCTAAAATCATCAGGTCTAAAAATCAGTAACCCAGCACTGCCAAATCCACCACTAAACTCCATCCCCAAGTGCCACAACTGCACATCTATCCAATACCTCTAGGATGGTGGCTCCACCACTGCTCTGGGCAGCCCTTTCCAATGCTTGATAACCCTTCAGAGAAGGAATCTCTTTCTCATATCCAACCTAAACCTCCCCTGGCACAACTTGAGGCCATTTCCTCTTGTCCTGTCAGCCTGGGGGGAGAGACTGACACGCACTCACTGTCAGCCTGTCCAGGTCCCTCTGCAGAGCCTTCCCACCCTTCAGCACATCAACACTCCCACCCATATTCCTACCTAAATACATGCACAAGAGGGGAGAAACAGATGGAGAACATGAGCTTCTTCCACCGACTGTTAGGGCAAGACCTACCCTCATTTGCTTATTTACCAGCTCTACAGCAGCTAAGTTTAGCTGCAGCATTTCAGGGAGTTTATTTATCTGGGAATTGAGCACATCCATTCTTTCAGCTCCTCTGACACTGGGGGGGCTGAGGCACACATAATAACCAGTCAGATGGACAATTATACACATCCCATAACTTACAGGCTGCTGCTTCCTTTGGTTTCTGTCCTGTCAACTTCCCTTCCCACACCACCATCACCTCCAGAGCTTTTTGTGGGGCTGAGGGCCTGCAGGTTCCACACCTGGAGCATGTGAACAGCCATGTACCCAGCAACAGCTCTGATCCACACACAATTATCCTGAAATGCCTCCTTCCAAAGAGCTGCATTTATTAATTCCCCTAATGACAGACATTTTTCCAGCTAGTGTTTCATCTAAGCTACCAGCAATACACAGTCATAGCTTAGGTTAACCACAGTTACCACCTAGAATGTATTTCTATGAATATCAAAGAGAATTTTACAGCTTTTGTCTGATTTCAAGGCAGAAAACTCAGCTCAACTGCGTATCAATTACCTGCCAATTTACAGAATTACAGCACACAAAAGACAATATATTATCTGCTTAAAATATTATTTATCAGAAATCATGCAGGGATGATCAGAGAGTGGAGCTGCCTGATAAGTAGCAGGTCTATAATTCTGCACCTCAAGAAGCCTGCAGACAGGTCCTTAGTGACAGATCTTGAGACTTCTTTGCTGGTAAAAGATGACTAAAGCCAGGTTCTGTAATATGGCAGCTGGTTCAGGCCATGGAATCTTTCACTGAGTGTCACCAGCTTCCACAGGAGAAGCGTCAGTGCCACTGAAAACACTGAAAATACTTTCATAGCACTACATTTTAATTAATTTGACTGGATACTGCAGTCACTCCCAATGTTTATACTCAATTATTCTCTACAGCACATCCTTCTGCCTGATTTTCACACCACAGGGTAGCTTATGTCTCACCATTCAGCCAAGGCTAAGAGATATTTTGAAGTCTGAGCACCCAACACAGAATTCTTCCTGGGATATGTCTGGGCAAGCACTGAGCAGACTTGGCACCTCCCAGTGCTTTTTCTTCAGCCTGTCCTTCCATATGGCTGGGACACTGAGACACACAAACCAGTCAGACTCCCAAGCCTGCACTCACTGGGATATGACTCAAAGACATGCACAATTTTAAAATCTATTTGAAGTTATTTGCCAGCCCTGATCATACTGATCATCCTAAAGGTAAGGACTGCCTTCTAGCTCAAAAACAACTCTCCTTATGAGTCACAGAACCAGGTACCTTTTAAAATAAAAGAAAAGCAATATATAAAATGGAAAGCAAGAAAAGCTGCTGGAAAACCGAACTTTTTGAAATTACATCTCTTTTTTCTGTAAATTCTCTTTCTTAATAACATTGTGACAGGACATTAAATTCCAGTTTTGAGGTAGACGTGCTTAGAGGTTTTTTCCTCACAATGAGTACATTATTGCAGGCTGTGCTTGTTTCCAAACTTTATATAATGACTTTGAGAGGCAGCAAACTCTGCTCAGAGCCTTCTGGTCCACTGGATGTTCCTTTCCCCTTTTAGAGCACCCTGCTCTTCACTAGAAATGAGACTCTGCAATGTCCCAGTGCACCCGGTCTCTTGGTCCCATTAGGGTTCCCACAGGGAACAAGGTAAGTAAAAAAACTCCATTTAACAGGCTCTGTTCTTGTTAACTAAAGAATTAAAGTGGCCTTGGTTTGAAGGGCCGGTAAAGTTCTTTGCTTTTCTCCTTCAAGCAGCTTTTCTTTGCTTTGAAGAAACTGCTTGCACTTCCCTAGGATAAATTAAACCAAATCAGCTCACAGAAATCATTTGGCTACCAGTGAACTTGGCTCCATGGGATCTTATAGGTTAAAAGAAAACCCAATAAAAATAAACAAAAAAACCCCCACCCCCAAACTCTCTTCTGAAGGAGGGAAAAGGCATTTTTGAGAATGTATAAACTAAAATCAATGTATTCTTCAAAGGCATAGAAAAATCAGTTTATGAAGTCTGACATGCAGTCTGTGAGTGAGGGAGATGGTGGGATCAATAGCCTCCCTTCACTCAACAATGATGAAAACTTGTACTGAGTATTCAACTTTATGCACCTGAATATGACAAGGAGGGTCATGTACTAAAAGAGGCCAGACAGCAAATTACAGGGTGAAACAAGACTCATCCCACACTGCTCTGAACCAAAGGAAAATGTTGGTGACTCAATTTGCAACTCTGAGTTTCAACAATACTCCTCAGCCTACAGAGATATATTTCAGGGCTGTCAGCTTAGACAAAAACTAAATTATGCAAGAATTCTCACAGAGAAGATCACAGACATTTTCACCTCGTTTGGGGCTTTTCTCAGCAAACCCAGAGGGACTCTGGTGCACTTGGACATTTCCTGCCTGGCTGTAGCTATCACCAACAGACCTGCCAGTCCCTGTGTCCACATCTGTTTGTCAACATTTGAAGCTCCTTTTGGTTTTCCTCCTGGGGTCCCAGAACTACTTTTTCCTTCTGCTGGGCAAGTGAGCAGATGGGATGGATCCCAGACCCATCTCATGAATTTCTGGTAGCCCCCAAACCCAGGCCTTTCCCCATTACCAAAACAGAAGGGAGGTTCACACACTTGGAAGGCTGTGATTGCATGGGGTTTAGCACAGTCCATTTAGACTAAATTTTTTGGAATTTCTCCTAATGCTTCCATGAAGATAGTAATAACTTACTCATAATATTTAGCTTAGTTGGAGCACTTTGGGGATATAAAGAGCTTTCAGAAATTAATTTTCTCATTTTTATTCCAGGTATATAGAGACTCATGTTAGAAGATGCTTGTTAGAAGATTCAATAAGTGATAAATATTCAAGACTTTCAAAACAATTCCACAAGATGAAAGTGCAACAGGACACGATGCTCCAAAATCACTCCAGCTCCCTCCCAAAGCTGTTCACACAAGTACAATAATCAATCCATTGACAGAATCACACAAGAGAACCTGGAAGAGACTCACCAGAGGAGCCCGGCCGATGCTGCTCAGGTAATAGAGGAGACCTTTGGCGTGGTAAATTGTTGGATGCAGCTGGGAGCTGGGTGTCAGCCACTGCCTGTTGAGATCATCTCCACTCAGTGAGCAACGAAGGCTGAAATCAGGAAGCAGCACATCACAAACTGGCAAAACAACAGCTGATTCCAAAGCATTTCCAATCCTGGCAAGCCGTGGCACAAGGACAGGGAATGTCAATAGAACACAGATATAATGGTTTTGAACTTTGGGCTGGAATGAACCAATAATCCATATTATATTTTTCAGGTTCTTATAGTGTATTAATTTTCCTAGTTGAATTTTATTAATTTAATTTCCTTTCCTTCTTAAGGTTCACATAATTGCCATCCTGCAAATAAATGCAGTTTTTCACTTACCTAAGAAGGCACAAATCAAAAGGCCATTTAGAAAGAAGTCTTCTGAAACATTCTAAATTCTGTACTATGAAATTCACACTGCTTGCATAGAGCACAGGCTTCTCATAACCCCCAGAGCACACAGGCACATCCAACTTCTACTCATTCTAATTGAAGACAGGCACTCAAATCTCATTGACCAGTCTGAAACATGAATGTACTTAAATGAGATGAGCTGGGTGTCTCATTTAAGCTTCTCTACTCACAAGAAATGTCTCTATCTAAGGCCCATCAAGGAGATCATGATACCTGCTAGAGCATTATGTAGAACAATTACCAGCTTCACTGCAAAGGCTGCATAAAAAACTAAATAAGAATCCCAGATTTGCACTGAGGAAGCATTTCCCTTAGTTAGTTACAACATATTCTGTTACTGACTCAATGATCAGTGGAAGATTGTCAGGATACTTGACCATGTGGAGCAGTACAGCACTGTGCAATTCTGAAAAATTCAACTCATCTCCCTTGTTAGTGACTGTGTAGATCAGAGCCTTACACCCTTCAAATGATTTGCTGTAATTTGGTTGATAATTTGCAAATCACAGTGTGGTGATAAAATTCTGGAATCCACTCTCCAGCATATGAGATATTGTGGTAGGTCCTCATCATCTCCAAACTATCCACTAGAATGTTTCCAGAGGCACTGCAAAATGGGGGTGCTTCTTGTTCAAAAAAGCTAAAATATCCTAAACGCTGGATGAATTTCTAGCTACGGAGTTGCATCCAGCTTTGCTGAAATAAAAAATATAAATGTACTAATAGAGATGGGTTCTGCTGGGGTATTGATAGAGGTTAGGGTGTGTGGCATGTGGCATCTTGGGCATTATTAGTGCCTTGCAAAATGCTTGGGAAAAAAGGGTTGTAAAGCAGGAATGTTTTGGTTTTGGTTTTTTGTTTTTGTTTTTTTTTTTTTAATTTTTATTAGGTGAGAATAATGGAGAACTGGTTAAAAATGGAAGACAAAGAAATAATGAGTTACTAAGGATATTACATATATCTTTAATGTAGAAAACAAGGTCTTTAATGACATCTTGGGGTTCCTGGCAACACCACAAGATCCATTCTAAATTTACTCCAGTTACTGAATTCCCTTATTTCCTCATAATCTGTACTTCCCTTGTTACTCACTCAGCAAATCAGAAAACACTAGAAGTAGCTAACACTTGGGATGTCAGCAAATGCTGCTGGGAGGCTTCTGCCAAAAATTCTTCATGAAAACATGACAGTTTCTGTTGTGTTTTCTAAGGGCTCTTCGGATAAAGTTACCTTTAGGCTCACCTCTCCTGATCTTCAGGACAAGAGCTGCTCAGCTGAGATTAGCAGCTGTATTTCTGCCAAGGATTTCTGTGCCTGCACAGCTTCCCTTCCATAGGTACAAGGCCACAGAGAGAGTCACTGGATTGCATAAGGAAACTCATCTTTCTCCAGTGTGACCAGCAAAAAAATAAAACCCAAACACTTCCTTGTCATAAGGTTGTGATGTCTTCCTCCATCACAGTTATACCAGGGAGTAAAACTAAGTGAGAATAACAGCAATTTTCATTCTGAAGGGAAGAATGATAGCTGGACTTGTATTCTCAAGTTTTAGTTTAATATCAAGAAAAAAAAAAAAAAAAAAACCAAAATGGAAGGGAGTCTTTTTGTTTCAGACCTACAGAAATAGTTTTTCATCATTGTCATTGGTCATACCCCAAACCTACTATATCCCCCTTTCCTGTGGGAATTGACATTAGTTTATGCCTCCTCAAACCATCCACACTTCCCTCTGCTAAAATGCCTTTGTACCCACTGGATGAGTCCAACATAAAGGGAGAAAAAAAGCAGGGAAATAGAAACTGCTAAAAGGATTCAGTAAATACAGAGATTAATATTAAGCCACTGCCAAACTCAATTTTTATTTTTTAGACTCAACTAAAAGCTTCTGAAAATGTTGATTATTCCTTCAGCAATTATAAAGAAATCCCAGGATATGTCACATAAGAAAAACTCCTAATTAAGTCCATAATACAATCTACCAATTCTGTTGCTCTGACACAAAATGTGGCTTTTTTCAGAGGTGACTATGACAAGACAATCCCCAGCTCTGCAGTTCACAGGTGCTGCTGTGCTTAGGATTAGTTTAAGAAGTGTAATCCAACTCTAAAACAATAATTTGGAAGTTCTTATGAACTGTTTGGAAAGAAGGTATCATCTCTACAAAAAGCCAAGAGCTTGGAGACAAAGTTCAGCTTTGTCCCTTCAAAGATTAACATTTCTGCTCATTTAAAGCTTTAAATATTAGCCCTCAACTTGGCTGTATCCACAGCTCTTAAGGACATGCAGAACTCAAATTTAATTACAAGAGGCTGATTTTTCCCACCCTGCTCTGTCCTTCCTTCATTCTGCTAAAATCTGTTTACTTTTGAACATGCCAATTCCCTGCCAGTCCTGTTTCTCCTTATCCTTTCTTTCCTTCTCTCTCTTTCCTAATAGTGATGACATGCACAGATAATGGTTTTGCCCGTTATGCTCTGCAGCCAAGGGTGAAGGTAAAATATTAAGCTGATTTCAAATGCTGATAGCAAATAAAGGGACTGGAGAGCTGAGACTGGCTTTGAATGTTTGGTAGGATTTCATGGAATTCACTATTCAAATCAAAGGCCTTTCTTACAACACAACTCCAAGCTATTATATTCCCTTTAAATGCTTTACATGTCTTTTCTCTTTTAAAGCATAAGGAAGACTACATGCCACCTTGGATGGGACTAGTGGCAGCTTACAAAACAATTGGCAGAAAAAATTCCAGTAAAAAACACCACTTCAGTGGCTCTATGTAAAGCACCTGAAATTCTGCTCATTTTTACATATCTCCCACCCAAGTGTACTACCCAGAGATATCTCAAATAATTAAACTGTGATTATCTTGTTCAAAAGTCTGATCTGTTTGTTATAGTCCTCCCTCACCCTCTACTTTTATATAGCCAAGACATTTTGGCTTTGAGGGCAAAGTAACCTCAGAAATTGCACAAAACTCTGCACAAGCCATGTGTATGGATAGAGAGATCCTACCTGGTCCTAACATGAGCCTTGATAAGGTCAATGGAACATTTCAGTGTACTGCAATAAGCCTGTGTCCCACACAGATACAAAAATGGCAGGGGATGAGAAACACAGGAAAAACAAAACTGAACAGGGTTGTGTAGTAAAGAGATTGGGGATAAGAATAATACACAAGATATTAGACAAGAAAGAATGAAATGGAGAGAGAGAAAAGTCACTTTTTAAAGAAAATATGTTGCTGTGCTTGGAAGATAAAATACTTCCCAGTCTCCTGTCCATAACAGATAAAAGGAAAGACAGGAGCCATCATATTGAATGAATGATGTCAGGACTGATAATAACAGCACCTGGGGCACAGGGAAATATAAAATCTAAGGGGATGCATCATGTTTGATATGTAGAGAGAAGCATCACCATTCACTGTGCACCTTAAAAGCAGACAGCAGTACCAGAGTAGGATGAGAGTGTCTGTATAAAAGGCAGCAGGCACAAGTAAACATCAAGATGCCATTGAGCAGCATGAGGCAGCTTCAGCCAGACACAGCATGCTGGACTTTATAAATAACAGCAGCCTAGGATGAAAACTGAAATATTTTTATTAAGATGTTATGGTCCTGCCATTCAGAAAACTGAGAGCAACATGGAGGGGAAAAAAATATAAAATGGATAGAAAACCCTTTGTTTCTCTTAATTTTAAATCTTTCCAGAGATCAAAGCTGGTGATCGGAGGAAGCAGTAGCAGCAGTAAAGCCCTCCTTCATATTGTAATGGAGAGTGTCAGAAATATAGCCATTATTTTCTGGCTTGGACTCTGGCTTTGTTCAAGCCCATGGGCTGAAATTATAATGGCTACATTGCATCCTGGTATGGCCCTCTGATGCCAATGATTATTCCAGAAATGGAACATCACCAGAACAATGTAAATTTTGGAGGCTTTGCAATGAAACAGTTGTCATCAGCATTACTGCAGTTAACAATTTATTTCCCATCCTTCTCTTTCCCTCTGACTGCTGGGAGTCCAGGAGCTACAATCCCTATTCCTTACCTCTTTTCTTCAAGTGTGTATTTCATTCTTAAGTCCTAATCACATTCCCATCCTTACTTATGCATGATCTCCTATAATGCTAATTGTCCCCAAACCTCATTTGTACCACATCTGTTTTTTAAAAAAACCAAACAGGTTTTTATCAGGATTAAAGCATTGGAGCACCAAAGCAGGCTGGCCCTGTTTAATTGGCCAGATGATAAAAAACAAGGCCAAAAAGCCAGTTTCTCCTAAGAGATCCCCATAAAGTACCAAACAATGGTGTTTTTTCAACTGCACTGTGAAATGCTGCCTATTTATTTTATCACCAAGCCTTTAAGAGGAAATTTTTTATTACTCTCTTATCTTCTTTTTTTTTGTGGCACCTTACACACACACAATGCCAGACTCATGTCCTGAGTGACACTTTGTGCTACCTGGGTGCCAATGAATTGACCTGTCTCATTTCAGCCAGCGGCTGCTGCACCACCCTCCCCTCCCAGCACTGCTAAACCCACGGTGCACAATCCTTCCTCTTGGACAAACACTATCCTGAGCTATCACTCTGCCAGTTTTTTCCTGCCTCCCTTCAGCTGAGCACTGATACTAATTAGGGTA